TCAAATCAATAGCTTGGGATGCAATTTTAAAATTCTGAGCAAGGACAAATGTCCCACACATGCTACCTTTTGTAGTTTCCTGGCTGGGCTGTTACCTGCAGTTACCTTCACAGAGTTCATTTTTTTCTTAACTATGAAAGGCAAGTTACACAGATGCTTGATTCCGGCTGTAGGTGGAAGCACAAGGGCTTCTAAGGAAAAGCGGAGTTCAAATACATTTGATCAATTTCAGGTTCAAACAGCAAAGCACCACATAATACAGGGACGGGTGGACTCCCCCGCACAGCCTGTTTTCACTCTTGGCCTCCTGAAACAGGTCTCAATTCCCAGCATTGATATACACTCCCTAAAATAACCAATTCCAAACATACTGCTGAGAAGTGGATGCTGCACTGAATATTTAGTGGAGAGAGGAAGACGGACATCCTACCTTGGACAAATTAAGAATAAAGACCCATCAACATCAGGTTTCCCTGCTCTCCAAAGATGCTGTCCCCTACCATTATCCCATCGCTCTCTTTCTCTCCACTCACCTTCAGCTCTGCCCTCATTTATGATATAACCTCTACCAACACATGGCTGGAAATCAGCCACACCACCAGGCCACCTTGTTTTTCCTGCTCTCTAGGTGCCTCTTTCCTTCCGTTCCATACTTCCTACCTTGCCACCTCCCCCACCTTCAAGTAGTTCATCAAAATACTTAGCCAACAATCCAAACTCATTTTTAAGTAGGAAGTCTACTGCAAAGTAAGCTTTACTTTCCATCCTGGTTTGCCAACCAATTATATGCTGTTAAGAATATGCATTCATTAATCTTAATGACAACCCTAAGAGGATGATTATAATCTCCAGAATATTGAAAAGATAACAGGGAGGGGCTTAGAGAAACCCAGACACTCATTCATTCTAAGACCCCATCTCAGTTCTGCTAGAGCCCCCATCTGTGTCCTCAACTGCCTTCCAGGGCTGCAGGGCAAGACAGGTGGGCCTGGGAAACATGCAACGTAAGCTGAGAATGGGGTACGTGTTTGGGGCTGCTGCTTTTACACTGCAGACAGCACCTGTTCCCATTATCCAAGCAGCTCCTGAAAAACCATCTACAAATCACCTTTGAGCAGACGCTATCTTTTCCCAAGCCACTGAATTCACAGATGAAATGCAAGAGATTTCATGACTTTGTTGTTCACACAGGTTAAGGGACTTTGCTAAGACCGTGCAGCTGCTAACTGCTACGGACAGTGAGATTTAATAGAGGCTGGAGTATCCAACATCCAGGTGGTGCTAGGAAATGCTATACCATTATGCTTCTCTAGAAGAAGTCCAGTCTTGGATGATGTTTAGATGTAGAAAAGGAATATTCCCTTTCTAGCCAAAATGACTGCAGAAAGCCAACACTAAGCAGGGATTAGAGACTCTTCTTGGCATACCTATATGGAGGTGCAGCGTGGGCTAGGTGAAGCATTTTTCCCCAGCCCCTCCTACTATTCTCCACTTGCTAAAAGAACTTACAGATATGACTAATTGGGCCGGGTTAGGTTTTATGTGGGTCAAACATCATATGCATTTGCATTTTCATTTTGGAACTGGACACTGAACTCAGCACCTTGTGCTTGTCTGGCAGGTGCTGTGCCACTGAGCTACATCCTAGGCTCATGCGTTTCCACTTCTGCTCCATGTTTCTAGCCAGACAAGAAGCCAGTCTACTCCTGAATAGGCTCAGCCCATTTGTTGTCTCAGGCTTGGCAGCCAGTTGTTGGTAAGGTCTGGATATAAGAGGCACACTCAAAATCTAAGCCATAAACTACAATCCAGTTGCTCCAAAGATTTTTACAATAGACTAACAGGAGGGCAGTATGCTGAGTTCTGTTTGATCAGCGTTTTAGCTCTAGAGTGTTACCAAGAGAGGGGCATGGTAGCACACAGCCAATTCCTTGGGTCCCTGCTGAGATATTTACACTATACTCAAAACCTAGAGTGATCAAATAAGCTGTAACCCACACAATGATAATTCTGAAGGTGAAAGAGCAATATTAATTAATTATGCCAGGACAATTCCCTGGTAAACAGGGCTGTATGGTCACCCTATCAAAACTACCTAAGCCAACTCCATTTCCTTTGATTATACAGACTTTCATTTTTTCCTGTAATAACTAGAAAAGAAAGCCTGAGTCCAATAGCAATAGGTTAATTATGAAAACTGGCACTGGAAGACTCAAAGTTGTAAAAGGAAGAAGAGGGAAATAAAGATACTGTACAAAGCAGACCTATTTGAAAAGTCCATATGTCCTGCCGATGCTATTTGTATCATTCATAAAACCAGCTTATCAGTGGAAAGCATCTTAGAGCTTACAGGGTATTTCAGGCTGTGCTGTGGCTTAGTAAGCTACAGTGCTGCTAGGAAGGGGCAGCATCCTCAGAGGCCGTGGTAACTCAAGCCTGGAATCTGGACTAGCCCGACAGCCCACCCCCAACCCTGCCCAGAGTGAGCCCCACATGGCATCTACTCTGATGTGCCAGTTTTCATTCTGAACCTAGAACACCTGGGAGACAGAAGGGAGAAAGAAAGGGGAAGGATGTGAAACCCAACAGAGTATCTTCCACCTGAATCAAAATGTGTTGCAGGAGATCTGTAGGTACTATACATGTTCAAAATACAAGTATAGATCTCTGCCCACTTATTTCTAAAATAGTCCTGGAATTGGAAAAAAAAAAAAAGGATTACCTAACCTCAGCATGGTTTTCTAAATTATTTAGATTGTAAATTTTATTTGTGAGTTAATTGATAAAGGATTAAAATCCAATTTGTAAAACAGTGGTTCTTTCTATCATTGTCAGTCTTGGGGATTGAACCTAGGACCTTGCACATGCTAGGCAGGCACTTTACCACTGGAGTACAACCATAGCCCTTTAAAAAAATTATTTCCAGACAGTGTCTAGCTAACTTCTCAGGCTGGCCTCACACTTGCAATTCTCCTGCCACTGCCTCCCAAGCAGCTGGATTATAGGTATGCACTTTATACCCAGGTAACAGTGGTTAAGAATGAGGCAGCCCAGACCTTCAAGGAAGAAATGCACAGGGTCCTTTGCCTTATGACTGGGAGGGAAGTCACCCCCTTTTATCTGTGTCTTCTAAGTCACACAGTTTCAGTAGCAGACCAAAGGGGACAAGAACAGTCTGTGTACATACAAATGTATGTACAAGCCTACCGTGTGGGCTTACAAGGTGTAACCTGTAGTTCACTGGTGACGGCTCAGGGATTGCTGCTCTCCAAGGCAAGATATGAGCAGGATATTTGGAACATCTATAGATCTGAAAATCTCCTTGCTGGGAAACAGGACCCCGATAGTTCTTCAAAGTATGATAGTCCCACATCAACATTATGCTATGTTGAAATCTACAGAGCATATATACTGGGTCTATATGCAATGGATTTAGAAATTACATGGCTAATTAGTCCTTTGTTTCTCAATTCTTCCTGCTGCATACGACCTAAATCAGAAAGCATCAGAAGGACTAACCTGACTTTTAAAAAAGATTGATGTGTCTAGATAATTTCATAAATCATCAAAGACAGGAGGTGTTCATTGTGTCCATACTTACTGAGCTGATACACACTGTCAGGAGGATCTAACAAGAATAAGGCACAATTTAGAGAATGAAGTTTTTACTCTGTGACTCTCAGAATGCCTTAGTTTTGTTCAAGTTACACTCCCTGGGCTTTAGCTAACCAACTGGATGGTGTAACATGGCATCCTTTGGTGGGGTTGCTTTAAATGGATGCCTGTATGTTATTTGATTCAAGAGTACAGAGTATCGAGGGGAAGATCTTAGAGGTCCAAAGTAAACTGTTCATCTTCCCTCAGCTGAAATGATGCTCCCTGTTGGAGATCCAGTTTCAATCACTGCAAGGAAAGCCTTCAATTCCTTGCATAACTGAAAACTTTAAGACTGCAAAGTTGTTTTAAAGTTTTCATTGCACTCTCGACTCAGAACAGCGATGGTCTGCAGGTGCCCTGGTTCGTTTCTAAACATCTTGCTCTTGTTTGCAGCTGGACACAGAGGAATGAATTATGCCTTTAACATGACATTTGCAAGATGATGTCAAGTCTGTCTGTGACCATTTACAGAGATGCTGAGGATATAGGTGATTGGGCATCAAGAACTTTGTGATACCAAGGAGTACAGTCTGAGGCAGGAATAAGAACAGAAAAAAAAAGAAAATAAGGGCTTGACTGTTTCCTCATTTTCAGAAAACAAGCAGTATCTAGATAAAAAAATCTAACTTAGGTAGAGATGGGAAAGACTGGAAGATGAAGACACATTTAACATCCAAACTGTCCAAGGTCTATGTATAGAGAATAGTAGGACGATATAATCTTAAATTACTATTAGTGAATTTCTGTTTTTAGTTTTTCCTCTAAGGTACACTGGTATGGTAGAGGTTGGGCCAAAAGAGGTCCTTTTCTTCATTAAAACATTATCACTACTTCCTGCTTATGCTGGGGAATGGTTTCCCTGAATATGCTGATGAAGGAAAATCACCCGTATAAGAAAAGCTGAACAAAGTGACTGAAAACTCTTAAAAATGAAAGAAAGAAAGAAAGAAAGAAAGAAAGAAAGAAAGAAAGAAAGAAAGAAAGAAAGAAAGAAGAAAGAAAGTCATCTGTAAACAGGCAAAGGTAATATAGTTATTCAAAGACTCAACTAAAAAGAGACGTGTCAACCTTTAACCATGATTTTCCTAACTCAGCTACTGGTTTGTAGGAAACAAACATTATTGTTCCATCAGTATAAACTGGGATTGTCACTGGAGGATCAGACTAAGGACTTCTGGGAAACATAACAAATTCACCATGACCATGCCATGGCTCCAGATGAGATAGATGCTAACCACAAGGGCTGCAATCCTCACCAATATAGTCGGCTAGGATGAAATCTATTTTCTAGAAATTTCAAAGCATGTGCATAATGTATGAAGAAAAGTATGACCAAAAAGAAATAACATACCAATCAGAAAATAACAATGACTTTATAAACTTGTACATGGTCTAAACATATGCTCATTCACTCCCCCAGAGACTCAAATCTTCAGAGTAACTTGCTGGGATGATCTCCAAAGCTCTGGTTCCTGGGACAGCCTCCTCCAGGTTTTTCTATTGGAGCTTCCAGCACCAAAGGAACAGTAACTCTGATCTGCCACGTGTCCATGACTTACATCATGTCCAGCTGCAAACAAGAATGAGATTATTTAGAAAGGAATCAGGGCACCTGCAGACCATCGCTGCTCTGAGTCGAGAGAGTGCCATGAAAAGCAAGTCACACACTCCTCACTGCTAATTGCTGTGGGAGTTTGCATACCAAATATTTCCTCATTTCAGTGCTAAGAACTTTTCCACAAAAAGGTTAAGAGCATAACATGTAGTTCTTGATGGCCAGTTATCAGGCTTAAAGGCAAAAGTTTTGAAACAAAGATAAATGCAAAAGCTAACATTTACAGTTTCCAAGGCACTTACAATATGGTGTAACAAATCAAAAAAACTTCAAATGCCTATCAGTCTAGGTGGTTTATATTAATTGGGAACATTTAATAAATTGGCTTTTTACAAGCTGTTTTTATTTGTCAACCCACACAAATTACATGATGTATTGCTTATTTTGTATTAAGAACAGTTTCAGTAAATTATAACATCTTGCTACTAGCCTTCTCAGCTTTTTTTAGCCTTTCAATGGTGAGGACTAATCTGAATGAACAATGTAGTTGAAATCACAGAACACAGGAATTTCCATTATAAAATTACCTGTCTGAATAAATTTTAAGAGTAATAAATAATAGTGTAAGGAGCTTCTGGTGTGGTAGAAATTAAAATACAAATAAGAAACAAGTCTATGATAAGCAGTGTTTTTGGCTGTGTGTACAATCTTTATAATACTTGATATGCATTAAAAGTACTTACTAAATCTTCCACATCACCTCCTTCTTCCAAGACAGCTGCTGTATCTTTATCTGGTTTTTCGCTGAAAGCCAGAAACTGTGAATAGAAAGTCAGTCATGATATTTGTGCCTCTTGTGGAGGAACAGTCTGCTAGCTTTGCCAGAGGCAAACATAGGAGGGCTTGCTTAGCACAGCCTCACTGCCAGTGGCCCAAAGAAACATCATCTTGGTACATTTTCCTTCCCTGGACTCTGGACAAAAGCATCAATTCTGAAGTTCAATAGTCCAGTCTAATTAGTCACCGGACAGAGTTCTTCTGAGAAGAGGGGAAATGACAGGGCTTGTCAAAATGGTAACTTTGAGAAGGGTCCCTCATCAGTACAATGGATAGCTGATACAGTATTTTATGTCTGACTCCACAGGGAATATAAACGGTTATTATAAGGTTAACAAAGTAAGCAGGCACCCCAAGCCAGTATGTCTTAGATTCTTTTGAAAGGAGCATAAGAATGAAGATTATAATTATCTATTCCTGAACCTCATTGAGGACAAAAGAGGTAAAAGGACTTCTTGTGAGAGATGTGGAACACAAAAAGAGTAAGCTTGGGAGGTTGTTTAATCCCTTTTATAGAAATCTTTCCATTTGTGTTAGAAATTGTTTGAAAGAGAGCTATGAGAAAAGGATGAAAACACTTTTGTGTGTGTGTGAAATAGACTTATTGTGGCTCTGATGATGGACACGTGAGATGTGTCTAGCAGGGTGGTCAGACTTTGCACCAGTGTTCTAGACCTGGAGCTTCTAAAAGACAGACATAGAAAAGCAAGAGCCCTGAAGTCAAGTCTCCAGGGATCTAGGATAAATTCAAAGTTTTAAAAAGTAATGAGTGTCCCTAAAAATTGTTTCAACACTTTCCTCAACCTGTTCCTCCAAGAGACAATAGCAAGGAGTCTTTTCAAACTTCCAGGCATATGGCAGCTGTATGTAAGAACTAGGTGTGACTGAGACAGTTCTATTCTAACATGCAGTGATTTCCTGGTAACATCAGCACCATGGCTAGCAGCAGAGACTAGCCTAGAGAAGTGTTTCACAGGGAGGGTGGGAGGTGGGGCAGGCTCTCTCAGCGTTCCTCTGCCTATGCTTCCCACCTCACACACAACTCATACCCAGGTAACAAGATGGTGACAGGAAAGGCCACACCTGCCTAAGTGGACACTGTGTTCATCAACAGCATGGACCTGACCATTATGGTCTGTGGACTCAACCTCTTCCCTGTACTTTCCTCCTCACTATTCACTGACCTCCATTTTTACTGAATAACAAAAGAATTTAGTCCTTTTTTGACCCCAAACTGGACCACAAACAGTGCTGGGAATCAGACTGTAAGAAAGAAAATCCTAAGGACAGGAGCAAACAATCTGGAATAGAACTGTAATGAGCTTCTGTATCTTTAATTTTATTTACTCCCGTGATTATTAATAAAGATATCTGAGGACCAATTACATATAAGTAAGAAATGCATGCAGTTAGACATGGTTTATGTCTAAAGTTAAACTGTTCTACCTTAGATTTCCAAATTAATGTTTGTGGTTCTCCTGATTATTATTACTACTAACAGTAATTTTTATTCTGTACCTTGCTGCTCCTACTCAATACTCATTATCATGATAACCACTGCATGATTTTCCCTGTATCAGGAACATGGCTATCAGATGACTTATCCAGTCAGAGTGAGGGCTGGAGATTCAACCCTTAAGGGGCCCTGGATTCAATCCCCCTGACCCCACCCTACTGCCCCTTCCTGACCCAGAAAAGACCCTGTCAGGGTGAAAAGCATAACAGATACATAGAAGAAGGGAATAACCTTCTATGGTATGGGGTCACAAATCACCAGCACCTAAAATGACAAACACCATGGGCTCAGTGGTACAATAGTCACTACACTGTTCACCTTGGTGGCCTGCAATATGGTCATTACTTACTGATCAACCTAAAAAATCCTTACTATTTTGTGGCACTTGGCCTTTCAAAGCTCCAATTCTTATTCCCTCACCAACTTGAAATGCCCTTTGCATAGGGAAAACTAGGACAGCACTGTGTCCATAGAATAACCTGGTATATATAATTAAGCATAGATGGCTTTGCCGGCCCCACCCCTGGGGGCAATTGAGACTGGGCATGGTGGCACACACCTATAATCCCAGTTCTTGGGAGGCAGAAAACAGGAGAATCACTATGAGTCTGATCTGTGTAGTGAGACCCTGTAGACCCTGTACTAAATTAAAAAAAAAAAAAAAGTAAAGAAACAACCATAGATGGCGCATCTCTAACATGAGGCCACCTTCCCAGGATGAGAGGAGCAGCAGAAGAAAAAGCCTTGCATTTCTATCAAGTGCTAGACATCTGCAGCTGATTTACCCGACAGCTCTGCTTCACATTTCTGTGTAAGCAAATTATGGGTAAGAACTGGGCTGCCATGCATTATTCTCCCTAAAGCTTTGGGCCAGGCTGATCTCTTATACATATCACTCTTCCTCATCAGGGTTTCTAACTGCTAGTAATTTCCAGGCTGTGCAGTGACAGGGAAGCTAGAGGCAGCAAGTTCAAGGACTGGCCTGCTTTCTCAATAAAAATAAAAGCTTCTCTGAATGCAGCAGAAAGGGTCAGAAGTCAACTCTCATCTTTTCTCTGATTCTCTCCCTCTGCAATGTGCTGAAAAGGTAGAGAATAAATAAAAAGGACACTTCTGTGATACACTTTTCTTTCCTCAAACCATCATTTATGTGGGGTTACCACAAAGAGCCTCCTTACCTGGAGATCTTTATGAAATGAATAGACTACTACTTTTTAAGTACAATGAAGTACAATACTGCCACATGTAGAGAAGTGGAATCAATAAATTCTGTGTAGAAACTGCCTGTGTTATCCCACCAGAAGACTAAAAACTAACAATTGGCTTGTGCTCAGACCCTTATCAATGCCCAGATTAAAAACACACAGTTTTCATCCAGCTGGTTCCAACACTATCAGGTGAGTCCAGATGTATAATGCTTTGAGACAAACAAAAGTTTACATAAAACGGTATAAATGTGGGTTTTCATTAATGTCATTTATAGTTTACAGCACAGAAATCCTGCAGGCTATGTGGAAAACAACCATAATCCTAGTTCTGTTAGTTTCTTAGGGACACTGGACAACACACCTGACCATTTTACAATTAATCTTCCTCAAAATTAAAACAGAAACACTACTGTTTACCCTATCTATTTTACATGTTTGTGGTGAGTTTCGGATGAAATATAGCATACAAAAATGCTTTCAAATAGCGTGTTATTTATTAATTATTAGGAAGTGGGTGGCCAGACGGCTCCATGGATTAAAGTGCCTGCTTAGGCAGACAGAGTGACAGGGTTTGATTCCCCAGCATGCCATGCCAACCTGCCCCAGGGTGCGGTGAGACGGTGATTGAGACTGGGCATGGTGGTGCGTACCTGTAATCCCAGCACTTACAAGGCCGAAAACAGGAGGATCACTATGATTCTGATCTGTGTAGTGAGACCCTGTAGACCCTATACTAAATACAAAATAAATACATAAATAAATTATTAGGAAGATACCCTATAAATGTCTACCAAGTAATATATACAAGAATATCATATCTTTATTTGTAACTGCCAAAGTTCGGAAACAAATGTCTATCATTACCATAAGGAATGAGTAACTATAACCACAAAAGGGATATTACATAGCTATAACACAACTTATAACATGGATGGATCACAAAAGGCATGATTCCAATGATCTGAATAATCAATAACCAGCAACACTACTCTCCTAAACCTAACCCTCCCCTAATCTTAAATCACTAAACGCTACTAGGGAGAGAGGAGGGTTCTCCATAGGAAGATACCAGGGACCCTCTTGAGTGTTAGGCACCCACAAATATGAACGAGCAAAATTCCAGTATGCCATGTGATGTATTTGCTATAGATATAATTCTATCTTAATTCAAACTTTAAAATTGTATCTTAAAATTATTAAGTTCTAAACAAACAGGTAACATTGTGATAACTACTGCTTTTCTTATGCTAGTATACAGAAAGACCAGAGATTTAAAGCAGAAAAATAAAGCAGAAAACAGCACAGGAATATGTCACAGTGCAACAGGGGCCAGTGGTTAGTGAAATTCTTTTGTCTCAGAATTCCTCCCAAGGCCTGAGTGACCTCGTACACAATCACATAAACACAACCAGGTGTACCCTCGAAAGAGAGAACATGCCTGCCTCCTCTCCAGGTGCCCCCAGCTAGTGGAGCCAGTGAAGTAGTGCTGTGGTGAGGGGAGGGTGGCTGGAGAAAAGTCCAGCAGTCTAGGTTCGGGTCAGTTCTGTCAGGCACTAGCATGCAGGGGGGTGCTGTGCTAGCACTTGCTCCTCTCTGGAGGTATGGCAAGTGAAATACCCAGACCACTGAGCTCTGAACCTCTGACACTAAACCAGAAAATCAATAAATAACAAGAAGGAAAGCCAGATGAGGCAGTTAGAAAGAAAGCAAGTGCTAAAACTCTCCCTTAACCTCTCAAAGCTTGTATCCAATGGTTACTTACACAGCTCAGTCTTTTGAACACTCATTAAAAATGGGTTATCCCAGTGACATGGAGATAAATAATCTTCCACGTGTTCTTTTTTCTTTTATCTTTTTTTCCCCCATAATTTTACTGAGAACAAATAGCAATGAGACAGTTTCAAACCAAATTGGTAGGACAGTTTCAATAATTAACACACTGCATACATTCTTCCTAGTGGCTCACTGCTGTACAAGATGCGGACATGATATCCTATTTACAAACACTATTAGAACAAATCCCTCTATTCATTAAGAGAATGTAACTATATATCTATCCTAACTGTTTTGAATATACAGATACAAAATGGATATTCATCTGTATCCCCTTTTCTTGTTTAGTTCTGTTATTTGAATATTATAGGTGTGTTAACTCAGCAAAATATTCAAAAAGAGTTCAGTAGTCCATAATAGCATTGGGTCTTCCGCTTCACTGGCAATGTCAGAAATCGTTGACCTGAGTCCCCTACAGCTCAAC